TAATAATACTATAAAATTAATGTATTATTCACCTCACTATCAGTAACAAGGATTATGTTACTGAAAAGTGGGGTACATGCACTCTCCTTAACTTTCAGCAACATAAGCCATGTTGCTGAAAATATGCTTTCAGCAACATAGGTCATGTTGCTGAAAATGGGGTTAAATTTATCCCCATCATCCGGCCATCGGTTTATCATTGATTTTCAGCAACATAAACCACGTTGCTGAAAGCATATTTTCAGCAACGTGCCTTAAGTTTTTAAAAACTCTTTACCACTTACCGATGCCTCTTGCCGGATTCCGGTGAAAAATTTCGCCAATATGGAGCACGTTGCTGAAACTATATTTTCAGCAATGTGCATTATGTTGCTGATGTATTAGCAACAAGTTACTTGTTGGTGATGTATCAGCCAGCAAGGTTTCTCCAACAAAACTTTTACCAACAAAACCCATGTTGCTGAAGGACTTTCAGCAACGTGAGAGGCACTTTTAGCAACATGAAAGCATGTTGCTAAAGGCTTGAATTTTAGTAGTGATTCATCATCTTTGCTGTTTCGCAAAGGAAACAAATGCAGCAACTCTAGTGGCTCCGCCTCTCTAGGTGTGCTACTTAATTAGAAATAAAACCCTTTATTTATAAATACTTTCTCTTTTTTCTCCATTAGAGACGTATAGCTCTCACTACGCCTACTAGATGTGAGACTCACACATTGCCAAAATTCTAGTGGCAACACAAGTGACACCTTGAACCCACATTGCCTTGCTAGCCCATTTTGGGGATGCCGCAAGTTAGATGCATGATAGGGAATTTCTAGGTGACTAATGGGTTATCATAAGCAACTATGAGTTTTTGGCCTATGGCTCAAAGTGAAGGGGTTAGCTTTGACAAAGTTCGCATTGGAGAAGTTTGGGTAATCTTTTAGGATGTTCATGTTGATGGTTTGTTTTTCTAGTAAAATACTAAGCAAAGGCGACGTTAAACGAAGATAACTAAGAGTCAAGGAAGAGAAGTGATGTAGTACTTTCAGTTTTCGTATTTCAAAGATTGGGTAAGGAGTAATGGTTAGTAGATTTCAAGGTGACGAATATGAAAAAGCAAGATAACAGATGTTGATTGATTTAAAAAATTAATTATTTTTTTTTATTTTTTTTAACAAGGTAAAAAATGATATCATTAGAAAAAGTAATTTGTTGATTTCAATTTTCATATTTCCGACCAAACAACTAGAGCGCATCATTAATAAGAAAAGAAAGAAAACAATAAATAAAAAGGCACAAGATCTAAAGAAATTGAACTACGGTAAAGAGAACATAGATCATGAATTTGACATAGCAATCTTGCATATATACTCTAAAAATAATCATTAACACTTATCAATATTTACTTAATCATATCTTCATTATATATAAAACAATTGTAATAATAAAATTCCCCCTAAAATTTTCAAAAAAATACATATTGAGCATTATAAAAATCTTCAATAAAATACCTAATGTGCTTTTAAAAAAAATGAGTAATTCAAATATAATTTATAAAGATATATCAGTATATTAAAAAATTAATTACTTAGTATCATAGACATTTAAACCTTTAATTTTAATCCTGAATCAAGATTTTTAAATTAATAAGTACTAATTCAACTAAATTTTTATTAGTCAACTAAATTCTTATTAGTCAAATCGAACATATATTAAATATTATAATCCAACCTTAATAAAATTTGATTTCTCATTAATTTTATTCAATAGGACAAACAAATGAGTCCTCCACTTTAGTCCCTAGATTTAAGAATTCTATAATTTGGTCCTTAATCTCACTCGTTTACTCATCATTTAATTTTGTAAAACATTGTGATTTAGTTTCAAAATTATGATTTTTAAAAGTTAAGTCCTATCCCACAACAATAATGGCACAAATAATAGAAATAATGTAATATCGTGCAAAACCATATTAAATCCATTCAAAAATTAATTAAATTAAGGCTAAATTAGCATCATATTACGTACAAAAATTCAACCTATCAAGCACTATAAGGAAAGTTAATAAATTTTGCACTAAAATTTTGTTAAGTCTTTTGTTAGGTTGTTAATACTAGATTTTTTCAATCAAAAAGAGAAAAAAAAATAGAAAAGTGAACCAACGTGATTAATATAATGGGAATAATTTAAGACATCTTTTAAAGAAGTACAAGTAGCATTTCGACCATTGAAACATATAGGTAAGCAAAAAAGAACTATTTTTCTTAACCCATGTTGTTATTGCCAGATCAATGATGCAAGTTAAAAAAAAAAAAAAAAAGCCTCTCCTTACCAAAACTATGAAGTTTGAAAAGACAAATCTTGCATCAATCCATAGCCAACAACCAACCACAAACTTTGGAATATACTCCAATGATGCAAGTTTAAAAAATGAAAAAATAGTTCTCTCCTTAACAGAACTAAGAAGTTTAAAAAGACAAACCTTACCTCAATCCACAGCCAACAACCGATCACAAACTTAGGAATATGTACTCCTCAAAGTCAAATTTTATCCTCTTAAAAATTCGTCACTTGATGGTTGCTAACATTGATTAGAAAAGACATTGCTAAAACAAGGATAGAGACCTTGATTGGAGACTTTGGCAATGTCAAATGAGATACTAGATTTTAGAAGTGAAATTCATTGGGTAGAGAAGGTATTTGAAATACATGTATTTTATGTTTTGTAATAATTTGAAATATATAATTTAAAATTCGTTTATTTGATTTAAATTTAGTTACATATTTTTTTTGTTAAACAATTAGTTTATTTGAGTTTGGGACACCAAATTCAAAGACACCCTCTTCAAATTCATGTTCCTAAAAACACTGAAATATAATTTTACAAGTGAATTATTAAATAAAAATAATTAATTATATAATAATATATCATATTATAATCATACAATTTTACAAAATATTATAGTCATATCATTTTTGCTCTAAATTCATACCAAAACTACTGGCTCATCAATATGCTCTCATCTCATTGCTTATTTTCCCAAAAAAACAAAAAGAAAAAAAAAATGGTCTCTATGGTTAATTTTTTTTATTTTCCCTTGTGTGGTATTCCTATCCATCTCTCTTTTTTATGGGTTTGTCATCTACCTTTTGGACCTACAAGAGTTTTGATGCGTTAGATGGTCAACATTAAGAGGACAAATTCCTAATAGACATTGAGTATAATAAAGACCGTTCATTCCTTACCAAGACAAGTCCTAAAGGATCACACCTCGAGTGGCATGTAATGATCTTATCTTATAGTTCAAATGAAATTTATCAAACTTCGAGATAGTTTTACATAGCAATTTCATATTGTCAATCAAATTTTGTAGGCCAATAATTAATAGGGCTGTTCATATCCGATCCAATCCGATTGATCCGACCTAAACTGATCCAATCCAATTAAAAACCGATCCAAACCAATATAAAATTGGATTGGTTTGAATTCTAAAATTTTAAAACCAATATAATTGGTTTGATTCATGGTTTTACTTTCAAACCGCCCGAACTGCCCGATTACAAAATAAAATCCGATTAGAAGATAATTTAATTAAATAATATAACACATTTTTGGTAGCATTTTAAATTTTCTTTTTCTTATTTTACAAGATTATAACTCCATTAACTTAATTAAAAAAATAAAAATAGAACATTTTCATATTCCCTAAGTTATTATTGAATTTCTAATTCACCTGCAACTTTATTATCTCAGAATTGGTTTGCGCCTTTACTCTTAAAATCCTAAATTTCTAATTTATTCTTAAAATAATCTTATGATTCTCCTAACTAAATTTTAAATAAGTATCATTCTAAAAGTCTTAAAACTATATAATAAAATTAGTCTTAATATTCTAATGTTTTTGGATATTTGGTTTAGAAGTTTTAAATTTTGATTATGAATACTTCTAATCAATTTTAGTAATATTCATGTTAAATGTTATTCACTTTTAATAGGATTTAGAAAATGTGATTAAATGATTAGTGCATTAGGAAAAAAAATAAATTTTAATCTTCAAGAATTATTTACGCTGTGCTATAAGTTTGAAGTTATTTTTTATTATTTTTAGTGCATCTAGTGATGTAACTAAGAATAATTTTTGGAGCTTTTCAATTCTTACAAATATAAAGGAGTATAAGAATTTGTTTATAATTTTTACTTATTATTATGTTTTTACTGATTTGGATTTTTATTTATTTTATAATTATACTTTTTATTTGATGTTAAAATATTTTTACATTATCTTATATATTTAATAATATTAAAAACCGATCAATCTGACCGAACCACACTGATCCAATTTAAATTGGATTGGTTTAATTACCACAAAATAGTGGATTGGATTGGTTTAAAAATTTTATTAACCGATTAAATTGGATTGATTTAAAAAATAATAAAATTCGAACCAAATCACACCGCGACCACCCTTAATAATTAATGGCTCAACACTAATTGAATTTGATGCCCCTCAAGTTTAGAGTTCAACTTTTTATCATTAAAAAAAAAAATCTGGAGAGTTCAACTTGGTTG